TTACCTCACTTTTAATATGAATTAATAGACTCAGTAAAGCATACGATTTCGAGTTTTATGCAGATTATAATTAAAAACTCAGTTGAATCTTACTTATTAGAGTAAAAAGGAACGTACATTCAACTGAGTTATAACGTTACAAATGAGAATTACCTGAGTTTTGGAGTAAATGAAAAGCAACTAATAAGTGATGAGTTTATAGTACGTCTGACAAAGTAAATGTACATTACAATCAAGATACTCTGCTGCGTTGCAGTAAATTGCAATAACAAAATAAAAAAATGTAATAATTATTAATTTCTAACTTTATTGTTGAGCAAACTTGGGGTTACATTACCCACTTAGCTGGAACCAAGATGGCGGATAGGAATACCTACATCTATAGTGCCTTAGTTATACATGTAAGAAATGGCCAGTTCGCCTAGTTATTTTCCCCAGCAGTAGTATTTCTTTTCTAAGTTGGCAATTAGTAGCGCTTCCGTTCCGCGGCGCTAGTTCTCGTGATCGCCTCGCGATTGGCGGATTCATCCCGCGTACGTGCTGCGCCCGCGCGACGGGCCACGTGAGGCCTTGGCGTCCTCTGATTGGCGCATGTGATTCCTTTGCCATAATATCGTTTCCGCTTGGAGACGGTGAAACAGTCTTAAGTCTTTTGTCAACGAGCCAAGATCTCGGCCATTATACCTCGCGAGTCGAGCGCCTTTTCGTATTAACTGAATAAATCTGTGTTCTGTTAATTGCTGTGTTTCACGAGTGTCTACCCTAGTTACGTTCCTCCAATATTCCTGACAAATATCTCTACTTTCTTTCGCGGTAACAAAACCGGCTGATAATATCCTTTCATACAAAACGTTGTGAGGTATAATATAGAACTGACATAGTTATATGTGATATGAGTCTTAATCTAATGTTAACACAGAAAATGTACAAAGCACAATATAGTATGAACAGAGATAGTCACGTTTTGAATATTAAAGAAAAATGTGGAAAACAAAGAAATATAATTAGATATTTTATCCCTCGTATAAGAATGGTATAAGAAAGCGAACACTATTAATGTAACGTGGGCTTACTAAAGGCCCCAATAAACAAAACCGGACTATGAGTCAATATAAAGAAAGTATACAAAAATTTTGAGATAAACATAGACAATAGAAAGATTATATGAAAAATTTTCCAAAGGAGAACATAACTATACTTTTTTTTTTTTAATATATATATATGTATATTTTTTTCTTTTTTTTTTTTTAAAAGGACGGCAACCAAAGATTATTAAACACTTATATTAATTCATTACTCTCCGGTCAAATTTCAAAAATCAAACAATAATAGGTTTAATTAAACCAATACAAGCATAGATCAGAGAACAAATTTGCAAAGCATAAACGAAATCAAGTTTGTAGGAAAATAGAAAGAGAATAACGTAAATATTCTACGGCATGAGCTTTGAATGTGGGCAGACTCACCGGTCGAAATCCCGGAATTCAGACATAAGCCACGGATTGTCTTGTAATTTCCACTAAGGAAATGAGATTGTCATAAGATGGTCCTGTCCTGTGACGTCATCCAGAGGTTCGCAGTACGTTCATGTCCTTGAGATTTTATCCGAAAATGTCCTTTCGTGCGGTCTCGTCAGAAATTATCGTAAAATCTGAACGGATTTCTAGCAAGGCAAGGAAATTTGCCACGAGTCGATCACGTGGCGTCAGCCTTGTAACCACGCTACGCCCAAGTCCTTGTAGCGTGATCTTATAATGTCTTCTTCTTGTACAGTCGTATCAAAAATTTAACTCAGTTTTTCGTTGGTAAGGGATTCCGCTTTCCTTCTTTTCCAGATACTTATGTAAGAACTGAGGCCATACTAGCCATGAGACTTGTTAGTACATGCAATGCACTAGAGAATAGTAGTTTAATCACACTTCGAGGCTATAGACAGGACTAAGGAGATATTCACATCAGTCCGTCCCAGCCTCCTGACACTCTGTTGTATATGCTATATATTTGCGGTTTCTTAATGTCCGCGATCCAACAGATGGCGCTGACAACATTAGGTCCGGTCATATATATATGTATACGATATCTAACCTTGTTTAACATACGGTAAATAACGAAGGCAGACATAGAATATCACCGGGCAGACTAAACTACGCACTGTGCGATCCACGTATTTCGTTTTATTTGTTCGATTTGTTCTATTTACTGTAATATTTTGCATTGTTCGCATTATAATTAGAAGAAATTAAACAGTGAAAAATTGTGAAAGTGTGAGGCAATTAAATCATGCCACGTTGTAATAGCTCCAGGATGTACTTCTGGATATGATTCCAATACAGAAAAAGTACACTTTTTTTGCGTACCCAAAGATGAAAATCAAAGAACATTGTGGCTGGCAGCATTAAAAAGAAAAAATGTTATTATTAAACATAAACAGACTTTATGTGAAAAACATTTTTCATCTGAAGATATTTTGTGGAGTCAAACAATATATGACAAAGAAGGAAATATTCTTGGCAAAGTAAGTTTTATTTCTAAGTTATTATTTGTCTTTAATATAAATAATCATTGATCTTATATTATAATTACATTCATGATCTGCAAATATTTCAATCATATTAATTCTATAAAATTAATTTTTGTGATTTTCATGTTTTTTTAGTCTGCACCATTCAAAATTCCCCGTTTACGTAAAAATGCTGTTCCAATATATTTTCCTTGGACAGAAGACACAGAAGAAACGGAAATCAATTTGCAAAAAGAATTATTTGAAGAACATGAAACACCTGCAAATATTGAAACAAACAATATTGAAAAAGAAAATAAGTTTTCATTTAATAATGTCATAGACATTCTAGAAAAAAAATTGCGTTTGCCAAATCAATGGACATATATCAAATATGTAAATGAGGATACAAAATTGTTGATATTTTATTTACCAATATGCAATTTAATTAACGATAATGAAAATAGCTACACACTTAATCCTTTAAAAGAAGTTATACTAAAAGAAAACATGACGTTACAAATAAATATTTTATAAAGCATCGTGTTAAAAATATTTTGTCAGAAAGTATGCAAATATATGATACTATTAAAAATATAGAACAATTAAAAAAATCATTGTTTTCTGTGGATGAATTAAATATATGTTCTGGTGCAGTGGTTAATAATGCAAATAATATTGAAAAATTTGGACATAATTTAGCTTTTAAAGATATTTGTAATACATGGAGACATAAAGAATGTTTATTATTAATACCACAATCATCAAAAAAATGCAAGTATTGCTTGAACATTAAATTTTCCTTGAATCGAAAAGAACGTCGTATGAAAATGATTAAAACAATTCAAAGAATTAGATTTTCTAATTCTCAGTTGATAGTACCAACAGTTATAACAGAAAATAAAAAAAAAATATTATTATTGCAAAAAAGATATTATAAATCAGAAAGGATTAAAAAAAGAAATAAATATGTAGCAGATAAATTGCAGGCAGAACTTACGAATTGTATGATTAAAATAAAAGAAATATCTACGCAAAATATCGAAAATCAATTGCAAAGGAAGGAAATTCCCAAAAATCAGATTACCGCCATACACGAAATAATACAAGCTGCAAAGCATAAAAATCCTAAAGGTCGAAGATATCATGAAGAATGGATTCTATTATGTATGCTTATGCATATGAAATCACCGGCTGCTTATGAATTCCTTCGAAACAATCAAATATTACCTGTTCCATGTGTTAGGACTATACGCAGGTAAATGTAGGACAAATAGAAAAATACTATAACATAATTACTATTGTAAAATATTTTAATGGAAGTAATTATTTTTAATATTTTATTCTCAACGCGATAAAAAATTAATTAATAGTAAATGCACTTTTTATTAATTATTTAGAAAAATTTTTAAAATAAAATTCATTAATTAAATTTTTTAGATATATGTAACATATGCTATGTTTTAATCATTATATAGATTTTATATTCTTATTATCTTATCTAAAAAAAGTGTGTAAAATCGATTACTTGCATTTCTCGAAGTTTATTGTTGTCGCTTTTCCGCAATGCCAATTGGTTACATTTGAATATCATTGGCATTAACTTTTTTTTAGATATCTTTCTTTAATTGACACACCGTGTGGTTTTGATAAAAATTTTTTTGAGATGTTCAAATCAGCTTTAAACAAAAAAGAAGAAAAACAAAAGCATGGTGTAATTCTTCTTGACGAAATCTATCTTAGATAGAGTATAAATGTAAATTCCAAAAAACTTACATATACTGGTCTCGTTGATTTTGGAATTGATGGACCACAAGCATCAAATCTAGACGAAAAAGCAGATCATGCTTTAGTTATAATGTTTCAACCAATAGCAGATTTTTACTCGCAACCAATTGGAGTGTTTGCGTCCAAAGGACCTGTATCAGGAGAAATTCTTGCACAGCTTGTAATTAAAGTAAGTTAATTATATTCAATATAGTCAATCAATTTATATTCTACAATGTTTCAAAAAATTGCAATTTAAAATTTAAATATACATTATTCTATTTGAATTTTTATATACAGGCCATTATCTTATCGTTACAAAATTGACTTTTTTAAAAAAAGTAAAAAAGGGTGCCAAGTGTTAGCGTGCTCCTCGAACAAAATTTGATGTTTATGATCTCCTTTTCGAACAAAAAACAGTTGTACAAAATTAAACAATAAAACCTAAGCGATACATCTATTATTGTACAAAATTGAACAATGAAACCTAAGCGGTACATCTATTATCGAACAAAATTTGATGTTTATGATCTTCTTTTTAACAAAAAACAGGTGTACAAAATTAAACAATAAAACCTAAGCGGTACATCTATTATTTCTTCAAAATAAAACCTAAATGCTATTTCTTTTGGTACTTTAAATACCGATCTCTATTTTAGTGAAATATATATAA